TTTTATAGTCTTTAAAAGTTGATGAGACAGGTTGGGCCTTGAACTTTAGGGAGAAAACTTATGGGTAGAGGAGAGAAGTTTGGGTGGTAGCATGGTGGTGTGTTCTTACTGTTTACTAGCACTGATTGCACCTCTCTTCCCAACTACGTGTTAAGAGACATCACATTAGTAGCATGAAATCATCAGGGGTAGGAATATTCACACCATGGAAATTGGTAAATGCTACAAGCCAGGACCTTTCCCTCCAGGAGAGTTGGTTGTTAATATTTACCAGCACAGCACTGGTAGTCAAGGAAGTAGATCACAAACATAGCGATGGAAATTCACAAGCCATATTCAGGAGTTAGGACCAGACTGGCGTCAAGTTGCAGGATCTTACAGGGCAGACTGAGGAATTTTGACTTTATCCTATTGATATTGAGGAGTTGTTGATGGCTTTTTATTAGTTGAGATGCTTTTAGTTACAAGTGATAGAAAAACTAAATTCAAAATGTCTTAAATAACAAGGAAGGTATATTATCTCATATAATAAGAATTTCAAGGAGGACCACTCAGGGTTGGCTCCTTTGGCAGTTCACCCAAGACCTAGACTCTTTTCATCTTTTTTCTCTGCTATTCTTAGTATGTCAGCTTGTTCTCCAACCAGAAAAGCAGTTCCAAATCCAACAACATTTAGCAGCAGAAGAGAATCATTTCTTATTTCTCTTTGTCTCTTTGTAAGAGCAAGGAAGTCCAGTAGATTTCCTTGAATCTCACATTGGTCAGAACTTTATCACATGCCTAAAGGAAGCACTGGCAAGGGGACTGGAACCATTGGCTTAGATCCATCAGTGTTTCACCCATCTCCCTCCCACTCAGCCCGTACCCTGCCGGAGCCAATCTCCCCTGAAGCCCACGACCACATAGAGAAGGGTGACTATTTGAACATAATCAGGGTTCTGTAAGCAAAGAGGAAGAATGGGGATGGACATTGGTTAAGTAACCAACATGCTATTACAGCTTTTGAAAAGAGAGAAAATATCAATGAAATATTTAGGAAGCATAATCTAGCAATGGTGTACAAGCAGATAGAAGGCTTGAGAATAGAGAGACCCAGTTATACTATTATGAGTCTAGATGTGACTCTATTATAAGAGTGTGGTTTGTACTGCCAAAGCAATGGTTCCCAACTGCCAATTCATTCATTCATTCACTCAGTAGATATTTAATGAATGATTGCTATGCATCAGGCACTATGCTAGGCCTTATAGCTAAAATGGTGAATTTATCTTATGGAGCTTCACAATCTAATGGATGAAGAAAATATCAATAAAATAATCTACAAGAAAATGTAAATTTATAACTTATGAAGGAACCCAGGATATTCATTTTCTATTTTTTTAATTGAGGTAAAATTCACACAGTGAAATGAACAGATCTTAAGTAGACAATTTGATATATATGCATAACAGCTACCCTATCGAGATATATATATATACATTTCCATCACCCCAGAAAGTTCCCTAGTGCCCCCTTTCTATTCAATCCCCACCTCTCCCCAGTAGGCAACCATGATTCTGATTTCTATCGTCAAGATTACTTTTGCCTGTTCTTGAATTTCATATAAATGGCTTCTTTTGCTCAATAAATGATTTTGAGATTTATCTATGTTGTTGTGTTTAAATGGAGTACATTTTTAAAAATTGTATTCCACTGTTTGATCAATGTGTTTATCCATTTTTTTGTTGGTAGACATTTGAGATGTTTCCAGTTTGGACTATTATGAATAAAGCTGTTATGAACATTCATGTCTAAGCTTTTTGTAGGCATACATTTTCATTTCTATTAGGTAAATACCTAGGAGTGGAATTCCTGGGTCATAGGGCAGGAAAGTGTTTAACGTTATAAGAACTGTGGATATTTTAAAAATATATGGATTCATGGTCCAAGAATTCCCAGTTAGTCAGTCTGAGGTTCCTAGGCACATACATACAGGATGTAGTTTTTAAAACTCCACAGAACCACTGGTCTAAATTATAGTGGTGGTGGTAGAAAGGAAGTTATTTTGGTTTGGTTTTCTTTTACACCACAAAAGCATATGAATGCAAACAATTGCTGTTTTTTCCCTTCCTGGTTAGCTGCAAAATAGCTTTCTCTGAACATTCCTGCCTACTCTATCCATTAGCCCTAGTGTTGAAATAGTCTCTCCTTGTAGTTTCTCTGGTGAAATGCAAAGCTCTGTTTTTTTCTGCTCTTGCTTAAAGTGAAATGAAAGCTCAGAGAGCTCCTTGGAGCAGCCCTTAGAATTGCTAAAATGAGTAAAAAAGAACAGGCCTTTAGGGCGGAAGAGAACTTTGTACTCAATGGCAGATGAGAGTGTGTGGCCCTAGGTACACTGGTAGGGTTTTCTGTGCTGCTTTTACTTTCTTTTCTTTCTATTCTTCTACCTGGCAGCAAAACATAATCAGCTGTGTTCTGGCTGCCCACAAGGACATTAGCCAGCTGTTTCTGAGCATTTAACATAGTGACAGCCCGAATGGCTGCACATCACTACAGAAGACGTCCCCAGTTTCTAGGCAAAGAAACGGACACATAGGAATAGGAAGGGAGTCACTTAATGGATTAGGGGCTGGCTGAGCTGGGACCAGAACCCAGGTGGCCTGGCTCCCAGCCCAGCTGACCACACTGCTACCCACACAGCCTGGGCTGACCCCAAACAAGCAGGCCATTGAGCAGTTGCACAAACAACAATGAATGATGGATGGTCAGAGCAAGAAACAGGCACAAAGCAACTGCAACCCTATCACTTCCTGGCCCCTAAATTTCCAGGCAAGCCTGTAAACTGTAGTCACTTAAATGAGTTTGACCAGCAACTTGGCCCAGCTTTCAAATGTGGAAACTTTTTGTGGTCACTGCCAAAAGTAAAAGTCTTCCTTGTACTGAGGGTGGAAAGTGCCTTTGAACTCCATACCTGGTCCTAATAAGTCTGTGGTACTGGAGTTAAGACTAGAAAGACATAGTTAACAGATGGGCATAACCTGGTCCTGCGAGGGCCTTGGTGAAACAAGACAAATTTAGATTTTTGAGGCTCTTCATCTGTGGACCTGTCCTCCTACCCCAGATTTAGCTTGCACGGAGTGGGTGTGATCAGTGGAGTTCAGTTAGAATCAACATAGGAGACCAAGTCTCATCATAGGTGAGCAAGGGGTGGCTGTGATCAGTGCAGTTCAGTTAGAATCAACATCAGGCGACCATGTCCTCCTCAGATTTGCCGCTGAACAGGACCCAAAATTCGTAGTCCCCACATTGAAGCCCAGGCCAACTGCCTCTGCCTGCCAACCTGTATTGTTGGTCCTGGGCATGCCTCATGCAAGGCACTCTAACCTGCTCGGCCTTAGTGTGGCCCTAGGCCCAGCCCTAAATCTTCACCTCTAAACCTAAGGTATCTCAAAGAGATATAGCTGTCTAGGAAGTGTCCTGTTTCAGGTGTTGATTTTCCAGTCTTGAGCTGGCTAATTCTAAAATTCTATGCTCCACCCCTCCGGTTTAGAAACTGAGGATTTTAGGAAGTAGTGAGGAGATAGAAAAATCGGCTGTAATATTTGTTTTTTAAATAGGCCTAATGAGCACAACTGAAACAATAAACATTTTGAATACGCAGACCAGGTGCCAACATGTTAGGAATCTGAATTAAAATTTAGAATTTCTTTTTTTTTTTTAATTTTAGGGAGTTTATTTTATTTTTTGTGTGTGTGAAGAAGACCAGCCCTGAGCTAACATCCGAAGCCAATCCTCCTCTTTTTTGCTGAGGAAGACTGGCCCTGGGCTAATATCCGTGCCCATCTTCCTCTACTTTATGTGAGACACCGCCACATCAGGGCCTGACAAGCGGTGCATGAGTGCGCGCCCGGGGTCCAAACCAGGTTCCCTGCAACAGAGCGCGCGCACTTAGCCGCTTGCGCCACCAGGCCGGCCCCAAAATTTAGGATTTCTTTGGTCACCAGGGGCTGGCCCCATTTTGTGTTTGTCATAAAGAGTATTTATTAAATGGCTCTTCTTACTTGAAACAGTCCACATTCTCCTAATATTTATTTATTCATTCAACAAATATAGAAGGTCTGCTCTGTGCCAGGCAAGGCTTATGTTCTCATAGCCATAGCTCATTGCAACTCACATACCACATACGTGACTTCTGCCTTATGTATGTATCATACATATGATACATACATGTATATATCATATACATACATATGATACATACATGTATATATGTATCATATACATACATACATATGTATGTGTATTTTACTAAAGTATAGGAACCTTGATGTCTGGAATTATGTCTTGTTCATTTTTGTGTCCCCAATATCAATGAGCACAGTGCCTTTCACATAGTAGGGACTAAATAAATATTTATTGAATTATGCTGTAAAGCTGTTAAAAGGCACTACCAAAAAAGCACTACATAACTTTTTTCGATTGTGCTAACAGTCTTAAGGCAGATATGTCAATAGGGTATCATCATAATGTAAATAAATATCGAGTGTTTATAGAGAAGGGTATGTTCACTTCATGAGTGAAGGAAGGAGAGCGCATAACTGGGTGGAGACTGGTTTGGAAGGATTGTTAATTTTTCTCTGGTCGGTCCAGAATAATTGCCTACAGTAACTAGAATTTCAGTCGTCTCATTCTAAGTATTTTCATCCCTCTCACCTTTCGAGAACTACCCCGCCTCTTTCTGCTTCTTCCCAAAGGGCTGTAGCCAACTGACTCTATCTCAAAGTCTCAAGAGTCCACCCTGTACCCCTCCACCTTCGGTTCAAGAACTCTCCAGGCCAGGGGCTTTAGGAACCCGGACCAGGAACACACGGGGTCACGCGCGGGGCAGGCGTCAAATTGGCCGCAGCTAGGGGAGCGGCGCTAAGGGCGGGGCTGCTACGGGCGGGGAGGGGCGGGGCGGGAGGAGGCCCGGGGGCGGCTTGGGTGTCACCACCAACCCGCTCCGGCCGGAAACTGGCGCTTGTTTCCGGCCGGACAGCCGAAAGCCACCGATCCTGAACCAGCAGCCGGAGTCAGAGTGGCGGCCGGGTGTGGAGCAGGCAAAAAGCCACTGGGGGAGGCCAGTCTCGATCAGTCCCATCTGGCTCCGACTCCTGATCCTGTGCGGACCAACAGCCGCGGTCGCAGTCTCCGCCACCGCCTCCATCGTCGTCGGGGGAGGGGCCGGCCGGACCCCGGGGTCACAGCCGAGGAATGAGGAGAGGCGGCCGGGCCCCGCGCTCCGCCCCGGCCTAGGGCCTTGCCCCGGGAGCCGCGAGGGTAACGGAGCCCCCCGCCCTGTCACCCTCCCCCGTCTGCTCCCGCCCCTCCCGCCTCTTCAGACTCCCGAACTCTGACCCTCAGATCTCCACTGTCCCCTTCTCCTTTCTGATGGTATTTCACCCGGAGCCGTCCTCTCCCGGGACCCCCTTCTCGCCCTGTTCTCGCTTCATCTCAGCCTTCCCCGGTTACTCCTCCCCTTCACCTGCGCCCCGCGGCCCTGGCCCCCTCCCCCGTTCCCGGCCTCCCTTCGCGAGCTGTGCTGGGCAGTTTGGACGGTCCTCTCGTCAGCTAGACTTTCGGGGAGGGATGGTGGAGTTTTAAGGTGTTTAGGAGTGCAGGCTACTATCCCCATAGTAGGATAAAATTCATTTTGAAGTCTCAATATAAAAGTAAAATGAAAACAAGCTTGTTCTCCCCCATTGATAGCCACACTGAGGTGCGTCCAGTAATGGAGGAAGGGAGCGAAAAGAAGTGTGTGTGTGTGTGTGTGTGTGTGTGTGTGTGTGTGTGTGGGCAGGCTTATGAACTTTAGAAAAAAGAAAAGTTGCCATGAGCCGATGGAAACTTTAGAAGCTGATGATGAGTAAGCCGGGGGCTGCGTGATCTCACTCCTCTTCTCATAATTACTAGGTTAACGGTGTGGCTCCGGTCGGGATGGAATGGGATTTGTTTACTGGCCGGCGTATTTTTAGCTTGTCGGCTCGCAAGGACCAGCGCTCTGCGAGTCAGTCTTTCTCTCTCTCTCTTTCCCTCTCTCTCTCTCTCTCCCTCCCTCCTTCTCACTCTGTGTCTCTCTCCCCCACCCTCTCTGTCCGTCTCTGTCTAGGTGGCTCCTCCGGGCACAATACAGATATAAAAATTAAGTTGAAAGAAGCTGACTAGTGAAATTTTCTGTAAGAGATTCTCCGCAAACTCTTCGGGGAGTTTTCTTTTCATGAATGTGAATGGAAGAATTAGCAGGACTTTGACTTGTAGTTTCCTCATCTTTTATAAGTATGTGTATAAAATGCTGTTTAGAAAATCAGAAGCTGGTGATTTTTCAGTCTTAGGCTTCTCTTACTGTCTATTTAGATCTTTGAGAAGACTGGATCCCTTTGTCTTTCAGAACCTGTTTCTAAAGTGGGAAAGGACAAAGTGGTGAGAGGAGGTAGTGGTGAGGCTAGTCCAAGAGGGCAGCTAATCCTAAATCTTTTAAAAACGTTTTCTATGCTATATAACTTTAAAAAGCAGTTAGAAAATTTCCTTCTTAGTAAATGAGATTGCATTCCTGATGGGATGGAAAAGACTGCAGGGACTTAGGCTGAGTGGCTAGGGAGAATCAGACTTGTAATTAAACATTTGCTTTGCATAATTTACAAATGAATACATTATAGGCAAACACTTATACTCTTTGTCCTCATTGTTTTTCTGAGCAGTTCTTTTAAAGTTTAGTAACCAACCTGCTGAGCTAGTCTATTGATATTTTGAAGGCTGAACAGAACTGTAAAATAAATGAAATTGATGTTGCTCATCTGGAAGCTGAATACCAGTCTGTTCTAATTTCCACTAGCTACCTGGCGTGCCTCCGGGCACCTCCCTGAATAAGTGGCCAGTTACTATGTACTTAGAGATTGCAAATGAATACAAATATTAGCTCATGCTAGGAATAATTGAGAGGGTAAATATGCTGAAAAGATATTCCAAAACTGAAATAGATTATTTTTCAATTTTTTCCATTTTGGTTTATCAGCACCTTTCTGCTGATAATTATCCATTAACATGAATAATTTAGAATTGAACAGATATTGGACATTGCACATTCAAGCAGAAAGAGGATGGAAGGAAGGTAGTTCCCAAACTATTACTAAGTTTTTTGCTGTTGTTGCCTCGTTTGACTTATCCTTTTCGTTTAATGCCAGGCTGCCTTGTGAAAAAAAAAAAAGTAAACCTTTACCAAAGAAAAGGCTGTCTGCTGACTTGTATAAGGCAGGCTGACCAGTAATGAATGCTAATTGTTAGCTGGACTTTTGGTGGAGATATGTCACCAACAACTTGGAAATTTTCCTGAAGCTTTAGTTCCTTAATCTCTTTCTTTTGGGATGCCTCTTGAAAAAAAAATTTAATTTGGAGGGTAAAATCTAATTTTTAAAAATCACACATACCCTCCCAGAGTGTGTTGACTATCAATAATTGTTTTAATTTGTGAGTTGGTTGGTGCCAGTATTAGTGATGATATCTAGTAAATTCTAGTTATTTCTGTATTTATATCTGTATTCAACTTCCCCTGGTTGAACTACATATATTATTTTGGGGGTGGGGCTTGAAGGAATTGAGTAAACCCCAAGACAAGTGTAGGGCAGCCCAATAGCCCACCATTATTCCCAGTTCTCTGAAGGCTTTGTTTGGAATTTTGAGATTCAATGTACGTAACCAAGTGAATTATGATGGAATAACTCAATATTAAAAATAAGTTTTCAGATTGTTATGGGGGCACTGAGTGCCGCTGGTTAAAGTTTTAGAGCTCCTGAATGTCTCAAGCATGCTGAGGATGCTGACAGAAGACACTGTAAGGGGGCACCTCTCTTCTTACCCCAGACATTCATCCCATCAAGGAAAAAATCTTGAAACAATACTTTTAAGTGTGACTTCGGCAGCATTTTTCCTATAGGAACTTAGGACTTGTGGAATGGCAGACTGTGGAATCTTCTCAACAGCCCCTGATAGATTCAGATAATTAAAATCTGTGTGACTAGAATGTAGATACAGGGTGGTTTTATCATGAATGGCTGAATTCAGTTGATTTTTTTTAATGTGATAGAAGAAGGGAGTTGAAGGATAGTTGAAGGGAGTTGTTGTTTTTTTTTTTTTTTAAAGCAAGAAATCCTTGCTGAATACTGATTGAACACTCCTGTGAATAAAGCAGTCTCCAAGCTCCAGTGACAGGCTTTTGGGAGATATAAAAGATGTAAAGATAGGTTCCCTTACCCTTGGGACAGAGGTGGGGTTGAGGAAAGTGGTATATAAATGGGAAGGCAAACTATTTTTATAAGCTTTAACGTTTAGGAAACAACATATAAACAAAAACAAGTTTAATTTGCTACAAATGGAGCATGTAAAGGCTAGAAAACTTGAATTGACAAAGTAAGAATGAGATAAATTAGGGAAGATTTCTGAGTTAGTAAAATTTGAAATGGATTTAGGAGGCTCTATAGATAAGTAAGAGTCATCAAGAGGCATGGGCTATGGAGTTATGGGTCTTGGTTCAAATCTTGGTTCTACTTTTTACTCTGTGGCCTTGGACAATTTACTTTTCCATCCTTATCTATAAAATATGTGTGAGCATTCAAGTAAATGAAGTAGTTGTTCTGTGTTAGGAGTAAAAGAAAAGAAAAGATCTTCTGGGCAGAAAGTATAGAATGTACAGTGTGCAATGATGGTATGAATGACTAAGTTGTGTTTGTGGGGGGAATAAATGAGAGTGACTGGAGAGAATGTGGGTTGGTCAAGTCATGGGTAGAGCAGGCAAGAGGGTGGAGGGGACTCAGAGGCCAGACTCTGTTGGGTGTTGATGGAAGGGTCAATAGAGTCATTGTAGGTCCTTGAACAAAGGATGGATTTAATGAGAAGTATTGAGCCCTCTGGTCCAGGAACTTAGGGACAAGGAGTCAGGCAGGCACCGGTACATTCTGGCCTAAAGGGACCAGCCAGGAGACATAAGATTCCTTGTAGTTTTTGTAGTCACACACCTTACTCACTATGATGAGCTCTGCTTCTGCCTGTCTCACATTGTACCAACGTGTGGGGAAATCTCAAGACTATGCCTGGATTCTCAAGAGTTTATGGTAAGGATAGTGTCATGTTTTAAGTGCATTTAACTTTCAGTTATCTCTCTTGTTGTAGGGAGCACTAGTTTAGGTAATTCAGGATTAATAGAGAAATTTCTTGGTTTGAAAATGCATTATTTTTAAACCAGATTTATTTTAGTGTTGGGGACCATACTGATGTTGAAATGAATTTGCATTTTTAAGTCTGTATTACCTGATGGTGAGGAGAGTATACTGATGGCAAAGAACAGTCAATCTTGAGTTAAAGATTTTGCCTCAGAAATCCCTAAAATGAATAATCCAGTTAGTGGGTAATTAAGGCTGGACTATACTGAGTATGTTAATAAAGACCAATTTCTTTTCACCATCTGTGTGGGTCCAGTGTGGCCTCTCAGGCTGTCTGCCTTATGCTGAAGAGTGGTCGGTATATGATGCCTGTGTGGCAGCCTGAATAAGTCTTTACTCACAATATCTGGAGGAATCCTATTGTGTGATGTTGCATCAATGAAGATTAAGCTGGCTTTTTCAAAGGACTTGAGCTTTGTAGAGGCTCTTCCAGATATCAGCTCTACTGAAAATCTGTCATTTTTCCTCCTCAAGTAAACTTGTTTGAAAATATGGCCAATTAAAAAAAAAAAGGAATGGGGAGAAGTGTCCACATTTAAGAAGTAAACAACAAAAATCACACAGCTGTTCTTCCAACCTTGTTCTCTCAGTTGACTTGCTTTCCTCCGTCCCTGCTTAGCCCCCACCTTCTCATAATCACTACCAAACTATGTGCTTGTGATGTCATGAGCACAGGATTATTATTTACTTCTTAAGTCAGGAGATTGTAGTATTTCTGAGCTGGAAATCAGAGGTGGAAAAGTCAGTAATCTTAACTTATACAGTTTAGTTCAGGATTATTTTCAACTGTGTTTTTTAGGATTATGCCTTATCTGCTCTAAGAAATAGTTTTGGATAGGAGAAATTACTAAACTGTTATTTTTAGTGACCCGCTATGAGTTTAGTTCTATGCTAGGAGCTGTGGAGGACTAGGAAAAATGACAGTTTTGTGCCCTTGAAGAATTTACAGTCCAATACTCCATTCGTAAGGGAAATAGGAAGGAATGAATATGTATTGAGCCTCTATTATGCCAGACAAATAAAATTTGGAAATGTGAAAGTATATTAGCAATTGCATAGTAACAGACC